TTCTATCTTTATAAAATGTCCTGAACAGGCAAATCTACATAGACAGAAAGTAGATTAGGGTTGCCAAGGGCTGAGGATGGAAGAGATGGAGAGTGACTCCTAATAGGTATGGGGTTTCTTTTTAGAGCAATGAAAGAGATCAAGCATTAGATTGTGGTGATGGTTGCACAACTTTGTGAATATATAATATACTAAATTGTATACTTTAAAGGAAGTGAGTTTTGTAGTAGATGAATGGTATCTCAATTTAAAAATTATAACAACAAATTATTTCCTAAACAACAGTTACAGAGTTCTGTTTGGGGTGATGAAAAGTTCTAGAAATTGATAGTGGAGATGGTTTCACAACATTGTGAATGCAATTACTACCATTTAATTGCACACTTAAAAGTGGTTAAAATAGCAAATTTTATGTTATATATATTTTACTACAATTTAAAAAACCCTATTTTTAAAACGCTCCCTAAACCAGAGACTTCATAAGCATGCAAACTGTCTTCTATGTTATTACAGATGACTTTTCTATCAAATGATTTTACACAGCCCCATGAGATCATTGGCCATGAGGTCTGCAAAACCTGTTTTATTTTTTTGGAGATGGAGTCTTGCTCTGTCACCCAGGCTGGAGTGCAACGGCACAATCTGGGCTTACTGCAACCTCTGCCTCTTGGGTTCAAACAATTCTCCCACCTCAGCCAACAAGCAGCTGGGATTACAGGCACCTGCCATCATGCCTGCCTAATTTTTGTATTTTTATAGAGATGGAGTTTCACCATGTTGGCCAGGCTGGTCTTGAACTCCAGACCTCAGGTGATCTGCCCACCTCAGCCTCCCAAAGTGCTGGGATTACAGGTGTGAGCCACTGTGCCCAGCTGAAAATCTGTTTTTTAAATTACCTGTTGCCTGATTGTTAAGCTAATGTCACATATTTAAGGGTTTTGTTACTACAGCACCATTACCAGGTGCCAAGTTATATGTTAGTCAGGGTACAGGCTAAGCTATGAATACCAAAAATCTCAAAATACAACAACCCATGATTCTATAAATGATGAAATCATTTGTGAAAGACTAATAGTGCTGCTCGGAGTAATTTGAAAAGCCAATTAAAAATGTAAAAAGTGGCTGGGCATGGTGGCTTACGCCTGTAATCCCAGCACTTTGGGAGGCTGAGGCAGGTGGATCACAAGGTCAGAAGACTGAGACCATCTTGGCCAACATGGTGAAACCCCATCTCTACTAAAAATATAAATATTATCTGGGTGTGGTGGCACGTGCCTCTAACCCCAGCTACTCGGGAGGCTGACGCATGAGAATCGCCTGAACCCAGGAGGTGGAGGTTGCAGTGAGCAGAGATCATACCACTGCACTTCAGCCTAGTGATAGAGTGAGACTCTGTCTCAAAAAAAAAAAAATGTAAAAAGCAGCAATGATTATTTCAAAGCATTGGTGAGCTGCTGAGGCAACTAGGAGTCAAGAGAACAAAATTCCAAATATGGGGAAACAGTATAGCGAGGTGAACTGAGCCAACATTCTGTAGTTCCTGCCTCCAGGGCATATGATGCTTCTGGGCATGGTGAAGGAGACTGAAGTTCTGGGCAGATGAGTTGGGCAGAAGTATCCTTCTCAGACCCTCACAGAGCAGGAAGGACAAAATTAGACTTGAAGGACTAGGACCTGGGGAAAGGAGAAGTTAAAAAAAGCCTAATGATTTTCTGCTTCATGAGGGTGTTCAGGCTGGTTCTTGTTTTAGGATATTGCAGAACTCTGAAGCTACATGGGGTAGAGTCGAAGATGCCAATAAGAAAGCCTCTGAAAAGCAGAATAGACTTTTGGCAGACTTGTAATGCTGGAGAGACAAGAAGAGTTCAAGAACTTCCAGGGCCATGGACCCCCAGGTTATAACCCAGGCTTCAAGTTGAAAATTCATGAGCAAGTGCAAACTAGATATGCACAGAGCCTTTCCAAAATGACAACCCAGTCTAGATTCAGCCCAGTTTTTGACTGAATTAAAGTGATGAGCCCCACTCTATCTGCATAAGGAGAATTTCTGGAGGAATATGTATAATTTTTCATATACAATTTCTGGTATTCAATAGCTAGGCATGCTAGAGGCAAGATGAAATGACTGAAAAGCAAGAGAAAAAACAGATAGTATAAATAGACCCATGGCTAATATTAACATTGGAGTTACCAGACAAGGATCTTAAATAGCTAGAATTAATATGCTCAAGACAAAAGAGAAAAAAAGTAGGGATTATATGAAAGGATGGGTAATTTTACCAGAGAAATGGCAATTATAGAGTAGAAAAGTACCATAACTGAAATAAAGAAATCAGAAAGTAGAACATTTATATGCTGTTGGTGGGAGTGTAAATTGGTACAGTCTCCATAGAAAACAGAAAACAGTATGGAAATTTCTAAAAATAAAAATAAAAATAGAACTACCATTTATTTGACCCAGCAATTCCACTATGGGGTATATACCCAAAGGAAAATAAATCATTACATCAAAAAGATAACCAGGCACTGTGGCTCATGCTTGTAATCCCAACATTTTGGGAGGCTGAGGTGGGTGGATCACCTGAGGTCAGGAGTTCAAGACCAGCCCAGTCAACATGGAGAAACCCTATCTCTACTGAAAATACAAAAAATTAACTGGACATGGTGGCACATACCTGTAATCCCAGCTACTCAGAAGACTGAGGCATGAGAATTGCTTGAACTCAGGAGGTAGAGGTTGCAGTGAGCAGCAATCACACTACTGCACTCCACCCTGGGCAACAGAACAAGACTCTATCTCAAAAAAAAAAAAAGAGAGACAGAGAGAAAAGAAAAAAAAAAAGATACCTGCACTTGTATGTTTACAGCAGTCCTGTCCACAATAGCAAAGATATGAAATCAACCTAAGTATTCAGCAGTAGATGATTGGATAAAGAAAATGTTTTATATATATATATATATGTGTATGCACACACACACACACACACACACACCCATACAATGGAATACTACTCAGCCATAAAAAGGAATGAAATCATGTATTTTGCAGCAGCATGGATGGAACTAGAGGCTATTTTCTTAAGTGGAATAACTCAGAAACAGAACTTCAAATGCCCTGTGTTCTCACTTATTAGTGGAAGCTAAATAATATGTATACACAGACAGAGGGTGGAATAATAGATATTGGAAACTGGGGAGAGTGAGGCCCTGGTGGGGGATGAGGGATGAGAAGTGACTCAATGGATACAAAGTACACCATTCAGGTGATGGTTACACCGAAAGTCCAGACGTCACTACTATGCAATATATCCATGTAACAAAACTGCACTTGCACCCCTTAAAATTACACAAATAATAATAACAACAAGTGACTCAGTCAATGTGCTTAACAACAGATAGACACAACAGAAGACAGGATCAAGTCAGGCCTCTAGAAAATATCTAGACTGATGCACAAAAGAAATAAAGGAAGACAGTCAAGGGCCAGCATCTTTGTTTATAAGGAGCTGACCAGGAACTGCACACATCGCTTGACCTCATAAGGGCTTGAACTTAGGTGCAAGAGCATACCTAGTTAACAGGGAGGCTGGCAGGTGTTGTTTATTTGTTCGTTTTTTTGTTTCTCTGTCTCTCTTTGCTTTCATAGAGATGGGGTCTCATTACACTGCTAAGGCTGGTGTCGAACTCCTGGGCTCAAATGATCCTCCCACCTTGGCTACCCAAAGTGCTGGGATTACAGCCATGAACCACCATGTCCAGCCCAGATGTTGCTTCTAATTGGGCAGCCACAATCCTCTTGTTACTGAAGGGAAGAATGGGAGAATGAATTTTAATAAATAGAAAGTATTTCTGCCACTTGGATTATTGTCTAGGAGCTAGACACACAGGGCTCTGTAGACCACAGTAATTGTGGATTACAGCCAAGGAAGGAGGAATTGGGAGTGCCATCAAAAGACACAGGATTTCCCAGACTAGAAGCTTGCTCCTTGGGCTCCACACTGGGTGAGGTTTTCTATTCCCAGATTTAGTGCTAGTGGTGAGATCCCAGAAGTGGTGAGTCTGTGGCTCCAGTGACCCTGATGTGAGCTCCTGTGAATCCCACTGGGTCTTTCGCAGACCCAGTCAATGGTAATTTTTTGTGAAGGGGGTTTCTTTGTCATCCATGAAGACCCAGGGAAGACGGAGGCTGAGGACTGCCGGAGCTACACTGGGAAGGGTCTTAGGCACATCCTCACCTTCTTAGAGGTCTCTTTCTCTTCTAACAAAATCTACCCTCTAGACTGTCTTAAGTCAGTTCAGAGTGCTGTGAGCCAATACAACAGACTGGGTGGCTGAAACAACAGAATTCTGTTTTCTCACAGTTTTGGAGGCTGGAAGTATGAGATCAGGGTGTCAGTACGTTCAGGTTCTGAGGAGAGCTGTCTTCATGGTTTGCAGACAGTGACCTTCTCACTGTGTCCTCACATTGTCGGGGAGACAGCTTTCTCTTCTCTTTTAAAAAATTTATTTTTTCTTTTTTTGGAGGCAGGGTCTCATTCTGTTTCCCAGGTTGGTCTCAAACTCCTGGGCTCAAGTGATCCTCCAGACTCGGCCTCTCAAAGAGCTGTGGGGTTGCAGGCATGAACCGCTGCACCTGGCCCCTTCTCTTCTTATAACGTCATAGTCTTATCAGATTAGGATCTCACCTTGGGACTTCATTTAACCTAATTACCTCCTAAAGACTCTATCCCCAGATACAGTCATATTGGGGGTTGGGGGCTTCAACATATGAATGTTGGGGGATAAGGGGACACATTTCAGTCCATAGCATGCATAAGACCTCTGTTCCCTGCCTGCAGCAATTTCTGGCCTCTTGTTTCCAAGTGGCGAAACTGATGTTGGGGAACAAAGCCTTTAAGGACCCTTTTGGCAGCGCCCTGGTGTATTAGGCCATTTTCACACTGCTGTGAAGAACTGCCTGAGACTGGGTTATTTATTTATTTATTTCTTGCACTGATATCTTTTTTTTTTTTTTTCTTACTAAGTTTTATTGTATGCTGCTGCTAGTGTATATAAAACAATTACCCTTGTGAAATAGAAATTCATGAAAATTCAGAGAGGTAGATGTTAAGGACTGACAGAAATAGAAGTTTGTATATTATGGCACAAGTGTTACAGGGATAAGCTTTTGTACAGGCTTCAAATGGAGCTCTCTTGAATATTCACTGGATCATAAGAAGTGGTTTGGGAAACCTTTGAAAAGATTCATTTTACTACAAAAAGGAACAGACTTTCTGGGGTCTGAACGGATTTGTACTTGAAGATACTCCAGTCAGCAGAGGATCATGTTGAGCATTCTGCAGACAGAATTGTTTCAAGTCTGCAGCTGCCTGGGAAACTTTTACGCGGTTGAGTCCGGCCTCCAGCCGGAGCTGTTGAACCACTTTCTTCATAGCGGCGACGCTGGAGGAGCCAGACATGGTGTACTAGAGGGCCGGGCTGATTCTTGGGTCGGTAGATCGTGGGCCGTGGGTCAACAGGGCCAGACAACTGAGCGGCGCGCGGCGGGGGCGGGGCTACCTGCACTGATATCTTAATTGTTTTTTTTGTCTTTCTGAGACTGGGTAATTTATAAAGGAAAGAGGTGTAATTGACTCACAGTTCCACATGGCTGAGAAGGCAAAGGGGAAGCAAGGCACCTTCTTCCCAAGGCGGCAGGAAGGAGAAGTGTCCAGTGAAGGGGAAAGAGCTCCTTATAAAACCGTTAGATCTCATGAGAACTCACTATCATGAGAACAGCATGGGGGAAACCACCCCCACGATTCAGTTATCTCCACCTGGTATCTCCCTTGATACATGGGGATTATGGGAATTACAATTTAAGATGAGCTTTGGGTGGGGACACAAAGCCTCACCATATCACCTGAGGAGGTGTTCATGAAAACTGCCTGCACCAGAGAACTATTTATTTCTGCTTTCAGGTAACAAGGAAGAGTTTGGGACCCTGAGGAGTGTGCCTGCAGCTTTGGACAGAGACCGGGAGTGGTGGCTCATGCCTGTCATCCAAGCACTTTGGAAGGCCCAGGTGAATGGATTGCTTGAGCCCAGAAGTTTGAGACCAGTCTGGGCAACATATTGAGATCTAGTCTCTTAAAAAATGCAAAAATTAGTTGATGAGTGTGGTAGCATGCACCTGTAGTCCCAGCTACTTGGGAGGCTGAGACGGAAGGGTCACACTTGAGCCTGGGAGGTTGAGGCTGCAGATACTGCACTTCAGCCTGGGCGACAGAGTGAGGTCCTGTCTCTTAACAAACACACACAAAAACCTTTGGACAGCAAAAGCCCATCTCCCCTTCTCCTCCGGCACATAGCTACCTGGCTGGGGACTACATTTCCCAGCCTCCCTTGAAGTTGGCTGTGATCACATGACTGGGTCTTCCCCAGTGGCTTGCAAATGGATTTGACTTGTGCAATTTCCACTTTACCTGCTTACAAGGAAATCTCTTGCTCTGGACTTTCTTTTTTTCCATTGCACCAAGTCACTCAGAGGTGGCAGCTTCAATTATGCAAATGGTGATGGGGCATGAGGTCAGTGGCTCTCAAAGTGGGCATCAGAATTTCCCAGAGAGCTTGTTAGCGCACAGTTTTCTGGGTCCTGCCTCCAGAGCTTCTGACTTAGTAGGTCTGGGGTGGGACCTGGGAATGCGCATTTCCTGTGAATTTCCAGGGACTGTTGCGGGTCCCGGGACTACACTTTGAGCAACTATCTGAAAGAATCTGGGTTCCTGAATGATTGCCACATGCACAGCCTTGAAAGATATTCTCCCTGAAGCTACTATGGAAAAGAGAATTCAATTTGTTTGTTTTTTTTTGAGACGGAGTTTCGCTGTTGTTACCGACTGGAGTGCAATGGCACGATCTCGGCTCACCACAACCTCCATCTCCTGGGTTCAAGCAATTCTCCTGCCTCAGCCTCCCGAGTAGCTGGGACTGCAGGCGGGCACCGCCATGCCCAGCTAATTTTTGTATTTTTAGTAGAGACGGGGTTTCACCGTGTTGACCAGGATGGTCTCGATCTCTTGACCTCGTGATCCACCCGCCTCGGCCTCCCAAAGTGCTGGGATTATAGGCGTGAGCCACCACGCCCGGCCTCAATTTGTTTTTAATCTTCAAGCCACGCTATTGTCTTACAATAAGATGGCCAGTGAATTTTTCTTTCTCCTTTAGCCAGCTTGACTTGGATTTCTATTGCTTGAGACTGAAAATGCCCTGATCAACATAGATAACATTGGCAGCTTGCGATTTACACATTCAGTAACTATTAAAAATCCCAGACCAGGTGCTTTTTATTTATTTTTATTATTTTTAATTTTTCTTTTTTTTTTGAGACGGAATCTCGCTCTGTCACCCAGGCTGGAGTGCAGTAGTGTGATCTCTGCTCACTGCAACCTTTGCCTCCTGGGTTCAAACAATTCTCCTTTCTTAGCCTCTTGAGTAGCTAGGATTACAGGTGGGCACCACCATGCCCGGCTAATTTTTGTATTTTTAATAGAGATGGGGTTTCACCATGTTGACCAGTCTTGAACTCCTGACCTCTTGATCTGCCCACCTCGGCCTCCCAAAGTGCTGGGATTACAGGTGTGAGCCACTGCACCCTGGCCTTTTTCTTTTTTCTTTTTTTTTTTTTTTTTTTTGAGCCAGGGTCTCACTCTGTCACCCAGGCTGGAGTGCAGCGATGCCATCATAGCTCATTGCATTCTCGGCCTCCTAGGCTCCAGGTATCCTCCTTCCTCAGCCTCCCAAGTGGCTGGGACTACAGGCGCGCACCACGATGCCAACATATTTTTAAGAGTTATTTTTAGTAGAGTTGGAGTCTTTCTGTGTTGCCCAGGCTGGTCTTGCACTCCTGGGATCCAGCGATCCGCCCGCCTCTGCCTTTCAGTGTTATTACAGGTGTGAGCCACCATGCCCAGCACAGTGTCATATCTGTCATATTCTATGGGTCAAAGCAGTCAAGGGTTCTGTCCCAATCAGACTAAGACCAACAGGAACAAGCCTATTGTATTAATTTGCTAGGGCAGCCTTAACAGACAGGAAGGGGCGGGGGGGTCTCCTTTTAGTAACAGTAGATACGGTCATGTTGTTCTCTAATTGACCACCATGTGGCGCTCTGTACCTAATATTAGTACATTTCGTAATTGCCCTTCGGAGAGCGACCACCGCCACTCAAGCGACTGGACACGGGACTAAGTGCTTCTGTTAATTTGGATAAGACGAGACTCTCACTTTCTTTGATAAAACGTAAATCTAGAAGAGCCCTAGGCTTTTATTACATCTTGCTCCTGAAAGGAGAGAAATTATCCTTTTTGATTTGCCGGAAAAAAAACAACCAGTATTTATTCTTTAGGAAATACAGAATTTAACCCTCCTGGTCACTATGGCAACAAACAATCAAGGAATACAACCAATCAGAATGCAAGTTTCTTTGGGAGGTTCTTTTTTTTTTTTTTTTTTCAGATATTGCAAAAATTTCTAAGATAATCTTAGACTCTTTTGTTTAAATTATCCTTTCAAGGAAAGACACAAATCTGCAGAGTTAACAAACTAGGTTGGTAACAGCAAAATTAACTGGAGCCTCCTGGCTGCACAGGAGAACAGAATGAATGTTTAGGGAATGTTCTCAATGTGCCACTCTATTAAAACTGATTTTTTTTTGAGACAGAGTCTTACTCTGTCACCCAGGCTGGAGTGCAGTGGCGCGATCTTGGCTTACTGCAAACTCCACCTCCCAGGTTCAAGCGTTTCTCCTGCCTCAGACTCCTGAGTAGCTGGGATTACAGATGCCTGCCACCACACCTGGCTAATTTTTTTAATTAAAAAAAAAATTTTTAGTAGAGATGGAGTTTCACCATGTTGGCCAGGCTGGTCTCAAACTCCTGAGCTCAAGTGATCCACCCTCCTCGGCCTCCTGAAGTGAAAATTGATTCTTTAGAGCAATTTCATGATGCAAAATAGAACGTCTTTTTATAGCTGCAATAGAGAGGGAGTCTTTTTTTTTTTAACGTTTAAAAACATTGTATTTGCTAAGTGTGCTGGCTCATGCCTGTGTAATCCCAACACTGGGAATCTGAGATGAGAGGATCGCTTGAGCCCAAGAGGCCAAGGCTGCAGTGAGCCATGTTTGCACCACTGCATTCCAGCCTGGGAAATGGAGCGAGACCCTGTCTCAAAAAAAAAAAAAAAAAAAAAAAAAAATGCAATAATTAAATATAACAAACACTTGAAACAAACTTTATAGGAACCATAGTCTCAGGATGCAGAGTTACATTCCAGAAGGAGTCAACACAAGATCATTGGCTTAACCTATCTTCTTATGGGCAAGCTTTTTGCTTACAATTCACCCAGGAAACAAACATAAAGTAAAATACGTGTATAGATCCAATGATCCAATGTCTTTTTTTTTTTTAATGGAGTCTCACTCACTTTTTTTTTTTTGAGACAGAATCTTGCTCTGTCACCCAGGCTGGAGTGCAATGGTACGATAGCTCACTGCAACCTCCGCCTCCTGGGTTCAAGCGATTCTTCTGCCTCAGCCTCCCAAGTAGCTGGGATTACAGGCACCTGCCACCATGCCTGGCTAATTTTTTTTGCATTTTTAGAGACGAAGTTTCACCATGTTGGGCAGGCTGGTCTCAAACTCCTGACTCCAGGTGATCTGCCTGCCTCTGCCTCCCAAAGTGCTGGGATTACAGGCGTGAACCACTGTGACTGGCTTCATTTTTTCATTCATTCAGTTTACATTTACTGGGCATCTCTTCTGTGCCAGTACAGTTCAGACACATAGAAGGGAACAATTTGAACATAGGTTTCTGCTCATATGGACCTTACAATCTTGTAACCTAATTGGAACCTTCCCTTACCTGCCTGGGAAAACACCTGTGCCCACCGTCCCTCCAGTTCCGAGTTTCCCATTGTTATGGGTTTGAGTTCCCTCCAAATTTCTGTGTTGAAGTCCTAACCTCCAGCACTTCCGAAAATGACTGTATTTGGAGAAAGGGTGTTTAGAGAGGCAATTAAGTTAACATTAGGTCTTTAGAGTGGGCACCAATCCAATACGGTGAATGTCCTCATAAGAAGAGGAAATTTAGACCGGGCATGGTGTCTCACGCCCGTAATCCCAGCACTTTGGGAGCTCAGGAGTTCGAGACCAGCCCGGCCACCACGGCGAAACCCTGTCTCTACTAAAAATACAAAAATTAGCCGGATGTGGTGGCATGCACCTGTAGTCCCAGCTACTGAGGAGGCTGAGGCAGGACAATCGCTTGAACCTGGGAGGCGGAGGCTGCAGTGAGCTGAGATTGTGCCACTGCACTCCAGCCTGGGCAACAGAGCAAGACTCCATCTCAAAAAAAAAAAAAAGTAAATAAAATAAGTAAGTAAGTAAATAAATATATAAAATTTCCAGCAGTGGATGAGTGATGTATCCCTACGGATACACGGTTTTCTGTTGGCTTTTCTATGGATGGGAAGTATGTGTATCTTACACTCTTGGGAAATGCTTCCCAAAAGGCTTCTGGGTTTG